TTGATAATCTCCTTGACTCTCTTTTCCTCCTTCTTGGATTCTTCTTGCTTTGGCTCGAAGTTGTTTTGATTCTTTTCTCTCTTCATGAATTGCCGTTGAAAAGTCTTTGCATTCAACTAACTTGTGTCGGCCCATGGGTGTATGTGACACGGCATGTTTTCTATGTTTTCCGGCGCTCTTCCTCGAGAGTTGTTACTCTCGATAGTTGCTATTATTTGTTGTATGCTTCATTGTTATTCTGGTTGTTGCTATTGTTGTAGTTGCCATTATGATTGCTACCATTGCTATCATTGCCGTTGCCATTGTATCTTCTTTTGTTGTCTGTGGTTGCCACCATATTGTCCTACCTTGGTCTTTTGTCTTACTGTCTGTAATCAGGTCTTCTATTCTTTGGGTTGTCCCTAGCAAATCTGTGCCAAGTTCTTTCTTCTAACAAAATTAGCTTCTCAACAACCCTCTTGAAGTCTTCATTTGTTCTTGGGTTCTCATTGAAATAGTCCTTGTATTGCCAATTTGCCCAGATTCCTTCTGCAAAGGCCTCTATCACCTCCCTATCAGTAATGTTGGACTTGAGCCCTGAATTCTCCAAATCTTCTATAGTATTCCCTTAGACTTTCTCCTCTCCTTTGCTTTACTCCTTTCAATTCGGCTGCAGTCATTGGATGGGTAATAATGCCTGCGAAGTTGTTGTAGAAAGCTTCTTGCAAGTCTTCCCAATACCTGATTGATCTTGGCCTCAATTTGTCAAACCATTGTAGCGGCATTGCTTCGAGGGCCATTGGGAAGAATAGAGCCTTGATGTCGTCGTCTCCTCTAGCTAATTCAATAGATTGGGAGTAAACCCTTAGCCATTGTCTTGGTTCGACTTTGCCATCATACTTGGAATGATTTGCTGGTTTAAACTTGTGCGGTAGCTTTAAAGTTTGTAGTCTTCCTGCGAAACAAGGGAATCTGTCGTATGGTTCTGTTCTTCCATAATCTGGTGATCTTGTCCTTCTGTAATAAGACCTGTCTTCTTTTAACTCAGACTCTTCGTAGTCATCTTCTTTGTCAAATCTTCTTGATATTTCTTGGTAGCGCTGCTCAATTCTGGTTTGTCTCTTTCTTGTTGCTTTGAGTAGTGTTCCTTCCTTCCATTGATATCAGCACTTTCTACTGGTCCTATCCTTTGAAAATTCAATTTTTTGGGTGGCTGCTCCCTTTGTGGCTCCTGTGGAACTTCTTCGCTGGGTTGTTTTCTGATCCCCCGACTTCTTTCTTCTGCTCTTCCTTTGCTTTCCCGTTATTCGTGAGGGTGTACAACTCCTTTATTAGTTCTTCAATTCTTTCCCTTTTTGTATTTTTTGTGGCTTCTTTTTCCGCCTTCTTTCTGTTGTATTCCGTTAGCTCCGCTTTGTATTTATTCCAGACTTGCTTCCTTTGTTTAGCCCGATTCCTCCTTCCAGCTTTCAATTTGTTCTTCTTTAGCCTTGCTAGTCTTTGCTCATCATTTTCGTTGCTATCGCTTTTCTCATCTGACGAGATGTTGCCTTTTGATTCGTCTGAAGATTTTATATCTGGTATCTATGGTGGTTCCAAAGGTTGTTCTAACTGCTCTGCCATGTATACAATATACCTCTTCCGAGCTCTTCTTATACGGTATTCCATCCTTCGTTTGGTTGAGTATCTGTAGCTTCCGAAATTTGGATCCAAGTTCTTTTCCTTCTTGATAAGGTAGTTCTTCAACGCGTGCGATCCCTGGGCTTTGTTTGAGGTGAAAGAACTCGCCAATGCACACCACACAATCTTGTGGGGTAACTGTCATGATCATCCTTCTTGTGCTCCCTCCAGAGTATTCTTCTTGCTAAGTCCATCTTGTTTTGGGTAAAGTGTCGATAGATCGATGATGCGCGTTCTTGTGATCAGTAAGTTCCCAAGTTCTTCTTTGAGTTGTACGGGTCGTATCCCTTCGCGATCGTTGTTGTGTCTCCGAGTCCAATTAGGCTTGGCTCTTGTGCCGTGAAGATTGTCTTGGAATCGGGTTGTATCTCTTTTTCGAGTCGATTTCAGATCCGCCTTCTTCCTTATTCCGAGTTGTATCCGAAGTTGAGAGTTTTCGTCATCTTCTCGGCGAAGTTTGTATTGAACTTCGTCATCGAATTATTTTTCTTCGGAGGCGGGTACGAAGCTTGATCGCGTCGCCGTCGACTTTGCAGATCCAGGATCCAAGACAAAGGTTGTTCCTACCGAAAAGGTCATCTTGAGGTTGAGGTCCGCCGAACTCTCGAGAAAAAATTCGTCGAAAGCCCCTACCTAGCGCGCCAGTTGTTGATGTTTTACCACCGATAGCCTGCCACGAGGGTACCCGGGACAGTTGTTCGGGCTTCGGCGAATAACGAATTCGGGCATGTTACGCAAAGAGACTCACGATTTAGCATTGGTTCAGGCCCTCGACTTGGTCGAGTAATAACCTTACGTCCAGTTTTGGCGTTAGCCTGTTTGTGTTGTATTGCTTTGAGTATCGGGTATGCATTCTCCTCTTACAATGGGTACCCTCACCAGCCCTTTATAGTCCAGGCGCTGAGAGGCGTTGTTTGTGTCCTATTCGGATACAAGGTCAGAGTCCTAAGCTACGCTTCGGGCGCCTTTCCTTGTATAGTTTGCGTGGGAGTTTCGGTTTTGCATGTTGCTTTGCTCCACGTTCTTCTTGGCGATTGGGCTATAGGCCTTGTTACCAAGGCCTACCTCCCTACAATATGGTCTATGGGGGGCCCATAGGGTTCTCCATCGACAGACCGGTCGTTGCAATGGACGCTAGGCAAGTCACAGATCTATTATCCCGAGCACATACTTAGGTATAGACGTAGAAAAAACTTGTTGCTCTCTTATCGTGGGTTCCAGCTCTTTTCGGACCGACTGATTGGAGGCGGGGATGGTGGAGGTCCTTGCACCGCACTAAGTCTGGGACTTAGAAGCGGGAGCTTGGAGTCCAAATTTGAACGGGGATCTAGACCCCTTGACAGGAGGGTGATGGGTTAGTCCTACTTGTGCCTGGGGTACAAGCGAATCATGTGTTTTTGGGGTACCCAGCTGGGGACATTGATTTGCGAATCGCCGCTAGTCGGTACGGCTTGTCTTAACTCTAGCATCATAGTAAGAACTGAAAGATGAAAGATGATGAAATAGAACTGATTGCTCAAGTCTTACTTGAAAGTAGAACAGGTGCTTACATAAAATGGATAGATAAGAAAATAATACGGCTATTAATAATAACATAAATAAAGACCCACTATTAGTATTATTTTCTGCAAAAAGAAAACCAGCAACCCATAAAGCCATGCATATCCCTTGGAATCGGGAAGCTATTCCCACTAGACGGATAAGTCTTGGAGTACATTGTGTACTCAGGGTTTATTTACCCCTGTTGCAGGTAATGTTTGAGGAGTACCATTGTGTGAAGGATTCTTCTGGTGGGCACAAACGGATCCTTGTCGTTAGATATTTGTTTTTATTCCGCTGTTTAATATTCCGCACTCTGACATTTAGCAATGTAATAATGAATTTCTAAGAACTCTGGATGTATGAAATATATTAAGTATTGTAACTCGTTCTCATTATTGGATCATTGGAAAAAATATGGATTTTTCGGGTTCTTCCTTGGGGTGTGCCCGACGGATACCGCCCGCTGTAGCTTGCTTTCGGGGTGCTTAGTGCCTGGTGGAAGACGAGCGCCTCCATAAGTGTGTTATTTCAGGTGGTTCTGCCACACCATGGTGCTGTTCGAAGCCCGATTTCTCGGTTGCTGCCCCGGCCTTCCCGTCCCCTATGTTATATATGTATGTTTTAAGTGTTCCAAATATTTCAGTTGTATGTTGCAATTGTTTCATCTTGATGTTGTAAAAGTAGATCTGAGAATGTTGCATGTTGCATATGTAGCAAGTATTTCGAAGCACGTTGCAAGCGTTTGTTCAAAATATTTTATTTGTTTCTAGACGTATGTTGCAAATCTTTTTTTATCTGGATGTTGTTGCAACAGTATGTTTTAAATGTTTCAGCTGTTTCAATCTTATGTTGCAGCAAGTGGTTTCGTGTTGTAAATTGTAATTTTGGATGTTTCATATATTTCACACATATGTTGAAAGTGCATGTTCCAAATGTTTTATCTATTTTTAGATGTATGTTGCATTCAAATGTTTTTCATATTAAAGTGTTTTATATTGTTCGGCCGAGAACGAGCTGAGGGCGAGCGGACTAGGCGTGCGGCGTGCCAGCGGGGCAGCGGACAGGATCGCTGGGGACCGGCGGATGGTAGTGCTGCGTGCTCATCCTCTCCAAAAGAAATGCGAGAATTTCAACCACGTGGAAGTGTCATCCTCACAACTCATCAGCAAGATCATGAACTAAATTGAACAATGGATCATGGCGGCAGCAAAACACCTATCGGCGCTTATTGCTAGAAGATGTTAAGTGCTTTTTTTTTCTGTTTTGACAGGTTAGGAGCCTTGTTTTGCGTGGCCTTCTTTTGTTCGTCTCTTTTGGCGCATTACCGTTCTATAGTCCGTTCACGTACTCTAAGTATTCAAGTAAATTTCAAACAAAATAAGAATTCTAACAAAAATAAATCATCTTACCTCTCACTAATAAAAAAAAAAAAATAGATTGGACAGAGTAGTTTAGTTGTTACTTTCTTTGGTCACCGGCTGACTGATTTGAATGAATGTCATGTTTAAAAGGAATATCAGTATTTTCTACTAAAAAAAGACACAGGAGAGAGGAGTATAAGGACTCATAATACAATTTTGAACTCCAGATCCTTTATATTTAAGGACAGAGTTCTCATTGTTGGGTTACAAGAATATGTAATTATTATATATACAGTGCAAGTCGGCGAAAGCCTCATTGAAAAATGAGCTTAACGCCTTAATCACCTACTCGGTCGTCGTCATCATACTAAAACGAACACCAGACAAGACCAACCTAAGTCAACAGCAGAAACAAACTGCCATCAAAGTGGACGCATGCTAACTCTCATCGTCCGACTCAAACGGCTGAAGCCGCCTGACCGACTCCAGGACATCGGGGCGCAGAGAGCCCGGCCCAGCACTGCCCAGAATGGACTTCACCTTGGGCACGCTCATCGAGTGCAGCGGCGGCGTCGGCGCCTTCAGGTTCACCTCCTTCAGCACCGACCTGACAGTGGCTCTCGCAGATTCACCAGCAGGGGACCTGCCGGTGCCGCTGGGACCAGCCTCGGCCTCGGCCTGCGCGGCAGCCTTGCCCTTCCCCTTGCCTGCCTCGTACTTCTGCATGTCGTAGAGGAGCTCACGCTGGAGCTGCTTGTCCGCCACCAGGATCTCCTCCATCTCGTTCTTGTAGTCCTTGAGCAGGGCGCGCAGGCACTCCATCAGGCACCCGATCAGCGGGCTGTTCTTGCTCTCCAGCAGCCGCTTCAGCTCGATGAAGATCGGGACTGCGATCTGGATCAGGTTCTTCTTCGCGACCTGGGTCACCGCCCTCCCTTTGGCCGCCAGGAGCGCGCTGGCCGTTGCCCCGCCCTCGCCGCCTTCCTCGTCCATCTCGGAATTATCTGACAAGATGTTGGGGTGGATGCGCATCTCCTTGCAAGCCAGTATCTGCAGAGCATCCTGTTGAGAAAAACTAAATCATCAAAACTATTGAAAAATAGCAGCATACAAGGCTATTTAGCTCTCGTAATTAATCATTTAACACACTAAGCATGTACCATAAGCATGAATCAAAAACCCAGGCTGCATGTGCACATTGCAGGTCAGTCAAGTGACAATCAGGCTATAAGCACTCATCGATGTCAATGGTTGTATCTACTACTGGATATCCAAGATACTTTTCTCATTTCATATTAGCATAAAACCATCTGAGTTCTGAAGATATTGATCCCCACCTGAAGTACAGCCCTTCCACCAGCATCATCAACACTGAGCAATCCATCACAAACAGCTGCCAAGATCTCAGCACATAACTTGGCCGACGTGGCTAAAAGGTGCTCTGGTGCCATTTGTTTCAGCAAAGAGACATAAATGTGCATTCGTTTTGATCTCGATCTTTCGTCAGTGCCACTGCAAAAAAAAAAATGAAAGCTAGGAATGAAGCATCTTCCTTGCAAGGACTAAGGAGAACAGTTTGAGTTGTTTTACCGAATTGCAAAAAGGGCAGGTCTTCCATCTGAACTTCCCTGAGACTGAGAGTCGCTATATACACCATGTCCAGTGCAATCATTTAGAACATATATAGCTTCAATAAAACTATTATATGCAAGGAGTGGCGCTTTAGCTGCAAAATTTAAGCAGATGTTAACCAGTGACTTCATAAAACAAGAAAAGTTTAGTACAAAAATAAGTACCTTTTAAGATGTTCCCAAAAAGGTAATCAGCCAAATGCCTAATCTTCTCAGACTCGTCAACTAAAGATGGCAGAAACCGAAGGAAGAGAACCCCTCTCCACTTTACATAGTCCCTCTGGACAAAATAGCAATCTCAGTAACCATGACCCAATATTCAAAACAAAGCATTACAGAAGTGATTAGCACCTGCAGCAACTTAGAGAGTAGGATAAATGTTTGTCTCCGTACTACTTCACAGGTATCACGGAGTGATTTTGTTATTTTTGACATGTAACTGCAGAAACATCATAAAGGAGAGATCAGTTAAACACATGTGCAAATAAGACTTTAACTAATTGGAAAAATAAATATATGAAATATCTTCTTCATAAATCTGTGAAACATAACTGATAAAATAGTCTTGACAAAAATCTATTTACTATTTCTGGAAGCCACATAACAACTAGCATATGGGAGGACAGTTTTACATCATTAACCTTAATTGCCAATATAGTAACAGACTAATAGCTTCCTCTCCAATATCATCTGACAAGAATTCAAGCATGTTGATAGAATCTTTTTTTTTAAAAAAAAAGAGAGAGATCTTTTCAACTTTCTTTTGGGGAAACATACAGAATCAGAATTAAATGGATTAATATATATGATCATTCATTGGGACCATTAACTTAGAAAATGGAAAGATACACAAAAAAAGGAAAACAGAGGGAAACAAATTAGCCACGTTTCATTCACCAAAGAGTTGTCAGAATCAGCCGATTGTCTTAACATTGCAAAGGTGGAAAAAATTGACCTTATAAATTTTGTGAAGTGTGACTATAAGCAACATTCATTTTTCTTGAGGGAAAAAGAGTCTGGAAAACACATTCTGATATACAGGAACATGCATCTGCTCGCAAGAGACAGTGACAAATTCTGGAAGGATAGTGATATTAATCATTGTGTATACGAATGAAGAAATATAAGCTCACCAGTCAACCAATGCAGTATAACGGATATAGAAGTCTGCCGCCATAATCATGATATTATTCGAAGGGTAGCCATATCACTCCTCTCAAGCTCCTGATTCATAGAAGCAACATTGACTGTATATCTGTTAAGAGTAATCATGAGACCTGTGCAGAGTACGTACCTGAACAAAAATTGGAATGTACCGTTTGGCCACTTTGTCATCTACAAGGCATATTTTTGCTAATGTATCCCACGATTGTATATATAATGATGGAGCTAACTCTTTGAAAGAAATGGTCCCACCAACAAGGTTTTTGGCCTTGGCTCAGAACTTCCAGAAGTTACAATTGTGTGTAGCAAAGGGTGATGTCCTTCACATCAGCAGTAGGACAAGCTAGGATCAGTGATCCAACAGTGAACACAGCAACAACTGCACGTAATGTTGACTTTGATGCAGATGTCTGTTTCATTCCCTTGCGTTTGCCAGTCATAGGAGTAACGAAACTGTGACCCCTGGCTGATTCGGATGCCTCTTTTATGTACTGGTCAAGGATGTCAAAAGCACTACAGATAAGTTGCTGCGCCCACTTCAGGATCAGTGCATCACCCTCATTAGCTGATTTTGCTTTCCTTTTACATAAAGTTTTCAGTGCTTTTACATGCGCATCAACCTGTTTATGCATGCATAAAAATTATGCTCAAGATATGGACATGAATTACTTCTGTTAAGAGCGATTTTGGCAAAATTGTAGATAGTGAAACCAACAACACACAGAAGCCTATATCAAGGAAAAAGATAAGATGAATGCATGATGAACATTGTTGCAGAACTATGGCCTGGGGAGGGAAAATGTGGATAACCAATGATCTAAACAGCAAAGTTTCTGGATAATCTTGAATTCTTGTCATTAGATTCCAAACAGGTAACAAGCAGGCCTTAAAACAATATATTGTGACTGCACGGAGGTTTCAGCTAGGCTCTGTTGGGATGTGCTAATTTTAGCATGCTAATCCTTAGCACTTGCTAGCAACCAAAACCTTACTAGTTTTTATTAGTAGCTATCACACCTTTTAGCATTTGCCTGTTTGGATCCACTCTTGCTAATTCTCAGTTGCTAACTATTAGCAAGCTGGATCCAAACATGCCCTAAGCTAGAAGGACCGCCCTACCAGAAAATATTGCTGATCGTTATAATACCAACACTGGCAAGCACAGTGAACCTAAGTTTTCATTTTATAATTATGAAATGCTGGCCTAGATTTACCATACCAAACGTTATGATTTACCCAAAAAAATCTTCAGAACAGTACATGTTGCCAGGTTTTGGCAGATTGGGCAATAGGATTAGGGCACGCTATATAAAGTGCAGTAGATTTAATATTGTTTTTAGTTGGCAGATTAAGCATGATCTCATATTGTTAAAACATAATGCCATGCTAACTCAAAATTTAACTGTAGCAAAAACAAATTAGTGTACTACTCACTATTGTTTTGGATCGACAAACTGATTACCTCACTCAGGTTCATATCAAAATCCTCAATCCTTGTGAGCAAGCTCTGTGCCAATTCTGCTGCAGGTTTCACAGGCAGCTCCATGGAGACATTTGAAATGGTTTGCAAGAGTGACACACGATTGACTGCCCAGAGCGCAGAGTTTGGTTCCACTTGAGAACAAGCTTTACCTCTGTCGTCTTGGCCAACATTGTCAAGGAGTTTCCAGTGGTGGGAGAGGAACTTCCAGTCAACTGATTTTGGCGCGAATGATGAGACTTCAGAAAGAAGCCACCAGGACCCAATAGGTGCAGTCCAATTTTCGATTGGCTTACAATTTCTCGACCACAAGGATTCAGATAGTGTTATGATGTTCTGCAGTGAGCTAGCAAGTAGTGGTTTCAGCTTCTTCTTCTTCCCAAGGCTTGCACATATCTTCTTTATGCATGGAGCAACCTCTCCATCACAGATGCTTTTCAGCAATTCCAGTGTCCCTTCAGGGAAAACTTCCTCCAAGGTGATGGAATCATCATCTAGTTTCGATTTGGCAGCTTGGCAGATCCTGTTAAGCACCAGTTCAAGGAACAGGTTTTCACATTCCTCCTGGATGCTTGTCTCACTATCAATCACCAGTGGAGGCACAGCCTGAAGCCACTCTTTCATCACTTTCTCATCAGGAAATTTCCTAAACACCTCTGAGATGGCAGCAAGAGCAGCCTTGCGGATGCTGACTAATGGATCAGAGCATGCAGTGCCCATTGCACAAAGAAGAGACTCATCCATGGGTCTCCCAATCAAACCGATTGCCTTTGTGATGAGCACAAGCACAGCCTTCCTCACAGCAGCCTTATCATCCGTGCAGCGTCGTCTCAGCAATTCCCCAAGCCCCATGTCCCCAATCCTCATCACCTCCTGCAACCGGTCAACCTCCACACCTCTCTCAGACAAAACATCAAGCACCTGGGCTGCATTCGTTAACGCCCGAGCTCGAACCCCTCCCATGCTATCTGAGCACCTCTCCACCAACAGCAGCAAAAACTTCAGCCACCAAGAGTCCTCTGTATCACAGTCATCCCCTTCAGATGGTAACAGCACTGGGAGCAAGGCGAGGACCAAATCCACAGCAAGCAGTCGTCCCTTTGCCTTGCCCCTTGCCATGGCCACAACATACCCTGCAAATCCCTCCCTTACTTCTGCCTCCAATGCCCGCACCACCTCGACTATGGCTTCCACCGCCAGTGCCCTGGCCTCCGCCTTGTCCGGCGCCTTCGCGGCCAAGTACCTAGGAAGGTACCCCACTGCCTTCCTAACTGCTTCCTCCCCTTCCTCGCCACCCAAAGGCACCAACTTCCTCACGAGGAACTGCACCGCGGCCACCCGTGCCGCGGATTTCGTGGCCGAGAGCACCACCGGGGCCAGCGCGCGTATCACGTCCTGCACCGCCCCGGCGTGGTAGTCGGATCCAAGGACGGCGGCGAGGACGTCGAACGCCGCGAGCTCCGCGGCGGTGTCGACGAGCGACCGCCGCGCGTCCGGGTGGGCCCCGAGCGGCAGCCTCCCCGCGGCGTCGGCGAGCAGGGAGAGCGCCTTCGGGAGCAGCGACTGCGCCGCCCGCGGGGCCGCCGGCGGCTTCTGGCGCTGGTTCTTGCGCTTGCGGGGGTTGGAGGCGGCGCCGGAACCGGAGCTAGGGTTGGAGGCGGCGCTGCCGGCGCCGGAGGCGGCCGCGGCGGCGGCGGCCTTGCGGATGGCGAGGAGGAGGGAGAGGAAGGGGAGCGGGGAGAAGAGGGTGAGGAGCGGGGAGGCCGGGGCGAGGAGGAGGCGGAGGTAGGCGACGGCGGCGGGGAGCGGGTGCGCGGAGAGCGAGGCCTCGAGCGGGGGCAGCAAGGAGGACGCAGGGACGCCGGCCTCGGCGAGGCGGGGGAAGATGGACGCGACGGCGGCGGGGCCGGAGGAGAGGAACGTGATGGAGGGCAGGGACAAGGGCGGGGAGGTGGCGGAGGAGGAGGACGCGGGGCGGTGGAGGGCGGCGAGCTCGGAGAGGACGGCGGGGAGGGAACCGGAGGCGGACGCGGGGGAGGCCGAGGGTGGGGAGCCGATCCCGCCGGCGCCGTCGAGGTCGACGTCCATCTCGTCGGCGTCCATGGGATGGGGGCGAGATCGACGGGGTGGGGACTGGACTGGAGAAAGCGCTTGACTGGAGATGGGGAAGGATGGGTGGGTGGGAATTTTGAAATTTGCGGTGGGGAAACGGAATTTTTGGGATTTGGGTAGAAGAGACAAGAGCCAAACCGAAAGGAGAAGGGTTTACGGTTACCGTTGGGCCTACTCCCACCCTTCTTCCATCGTTCGGGCGGCCCAACTCATCTAAAATGGATGTTGCGCTTGGAGGGCAGGCTCTGGGCTGGAGGATGACCTTTGGACGACGTGAGCACTTGGGTTTGGTTCATTTATTTATGAACTTTGCTAAAGCATGCTCGCGCAGTATTTAGAGGTTCCGCGCGCACACCTCGTGGGACACTAGTTTTAGCCAAAAAAAAAAAACCACAGCAGCCCTCTTCCTGACTCCAACGCCCTCCCGCCACCACCACCGCCACTCCGTGAACCTTAGCGCCCATGCATGGGCCTCCTCCCTCCCTCCCCCCACCGCCGCCATCATCTCCGACTTCATGAGCTCGCCCACCGCCATCTTCTTTAGCTCGGCGAGCCTCCCGCCCGACATGGCCCGACCACCCCCCGCCTTGCCCGACTCTCTAAGCCGCCCATCCACCATTCTCACCGCTTGCCTACCTACCTCCCACCACGCCGGCCATTCTATACCCCACGAAGTTGGTGAAGAAGGGGTTAGCTCACCGAAACCCTAGCCCAATCCAGGAGGAGAGAGAAGAAAGGAGGAGGAGGCCTACCTGGCCCCGCCGCCACCGGATCCGGCACCGCCGCCACCAGATCCAGCATGTCCGCACGTGGGGGAGGCGATGGAGCGTTGGAGCGGGCACGGGCAGCCGATGGGGTGCGGCGCATGGGGAGGACGCCCCGGTCGCCATCGCCGATGAGAGAGAGAGAGACGGGAGAGGAGTCCAGATGGGGCGGGGAGGAAAGACCTCGTCGCGTGAAGTCGCCACAGAGCGTGCACGCTCTTAAAGTAGCATTTTCGTTTATTTATAGTACCCTATTTAATGCATTCAAAAAAAAAAAAGAACCATGTTTAATGCTAGCTAGGTGTAATTTTAGGTGTAATTTGTTTTTAGCTATCTTTTGTGTGTGTGGTGTCCGTCTGGCCTAGACGGATCCTCCTAAGTCTATGGCTGCACCACACGGCCTGAGGACCAACCAAATAGGCCTCCAGTTTTTTTATTACCATGCGCCGGCTGGATAAGGATAAGAAAAAGACCTCCCATGTCCTGCTTCGTCCATTATCCATGGTGTCCTCTTCCTTTTCTTCCCCAAAACTCTATCGTTGCCACCTCCACCGCTCAAAGCCCCACGCCCGCCAAACCTCCCTTGCCACGACTCCTGCTCTGCCGCCCGCCCCACATGACGGCGCAGGCACCGCCACGCCCATGCCTAGGGACCACTTCCTCGGCCGCTAACTGTCCACTGAGGCCGTCGTGCGTGTGCTCGCGCCCGACAACGTCGACAGCCGCTGCTAGTGGTGCAAGGAGAAGCGTCGGGCCCTAGCGTAGAAGCCCTCTAGCCATAGCAGGAGCCTCACGCTCCTGCTACAACTGCGGTGCTGTGGCAGTCTCAAATAACTCACTTTCAGAGGTGCTTGTCTTCTATTAGACACTAAACACCCCAAGAGTGAGCTAATTAAAATAGTTCTGTCGAGCACACCCATGGGAGAACTCGAAAATCCATATTTTTCAATAGGATCATAAATGGGAATATAAAGCTTATAACATTTTAGTCATTTCTTACATCACTTTTCATGCAACATCAGAGTATAATATTTATTGTTTATAATAGCAGAATATAACCATGTTATCAGAGTTTCAATAGAAATAAAATCATCTAATGACAAGTTAAACATTAACATGATGATCCGTTATATACATCATAACAGGTTATAAGTTTTTCCATTATAAAATATTTTGGATGAAAGTTTCAAATAAACTCTATATCCGCAACATTGAGGAAATCCTCGCTGAGCTCACCAGGAGGTTTCCGGATACAAGTGTCAGCTCTAATATCCACATGTCACCTGCAACAGGGTAGAACAAACCCTGAGTACTCAATTGTACTCCGCAAGACTTACCCGTCAGAAAAAAAGAAAAGACTTCAAGGATATGCAAGGCTATCTACCTTGTGGGTTGATTGCATCTGTAGGAGCATTACTAAACGTGCGTCCTTATATTCAACTTTTATTAGCAGTCAATATTAGTTCCTTAACTAACCTTTCTATGTAAGCACCTATACTACTTTCAAGCAGGTGGTAAGCAATCAGAACCATTTTACATTCTTTCATGTTTCAGTTCTTACTACGGTGCTAGACCATAGTCAAGTCGTACCGTATCATATGGCGATTCACGAATCAATGTATCCCAGCTAGGTACCCCGAAATACACGCCCCGCTTATACCCCAGGCACAAGCAAGACCAACTTACCACTCTCCTATCAAGGGGTCCAGGTCCTCGTCCAAACTTGGACTCCAAGCCCCCACACCTAAGTCCCAAACTCAGTGCGGTGCTTGGACCTTCACCCAAAAAACCATCTCTAAAAGGCGGTCCAGAAAGAGCCAGAACCCATGACAAGAAAGTGACAAGCCTTTCTACTCCCATAAGCAAGTATGTGCTCAGGATAATAAGTCTGTGATCTGACTACCATCCACAGCAACGGACGGTCCTCAATCGACACAGACGGGACAAATGCAACCAGAGCCTCGCTCAGTTGCCTAACCAGTCCATGTCCATCCAAAGTACAGTCCCGCCCGATCTCCAATTATTATCCATATATATTTCATGTGATAGTAACATGATATTAGTATCAATAATATCTTTTCCTATCTCTCGCGAGTGACAGGTAATCACTCGACTTCTACCGGAATCCTATAGTATAGCAATCTACGCGATCATGTCATACTAGTGAGACTCATATGACAAGGATATATATATATATATATATGCAAGTGAGTTTCATTCAACTCCTTAAACTTAATGCACAAGCATAAAATAAAGTGCAGAATAATAGGGGTTATGCACCGGGGCTTACCTGGGTAAAATATAACCAGGTTAGCTTTTCATCATGGTGGCATGATCGTCAAGTCACCAGCTGCTGCCGCTACTCCAGATGACTCCGCGATCCATCATCGTTCCTATTATGATATTTGTGGATGCAACGCAGAGACATAAATAATCACGGCAATCGTAACTTTAAAATACGATTACGCTGCTAAACTAACGAGCCGACTCCGACGACTAACGTACTAGGCCACGCATCCACGTTATCGAACAAGGCGCTAATTTCCCACAATGTTTTAGCTATAAAATCCCTAGGTGTTTCTTTATTTTTTTTATTTACTATATGTTTAAACTAAGGCACATTAGTTACCTCAGCAAACTAATTATCCAGAAGCTACAAAAATTACAGTGAGCACTTAATATTGTTAGGAATCTACTATAAATTTTTCAGAGCCAATGCTACTACCAATTCATCACAATAATTCCTACAAGTTTATGTTTTAACATTACTAAGTGCGTCAAATCAACTAAATTACTCTTAAAATTCTATGAAACTATGTGAACAAAATACACTAACAGATAGATCATGATTTTAGAAGCTTAACAAAATTAGTTTCACAATTTTTAGACATCTACACAAATATATCTTGAATTTACAATTTCACCTTAGAAACTAATTTGGAAAACCCCTTTAGAAAAAAGAAAAGGACGGTGATAGCAATTTGGCCCAGCGGCCCATTCGGAGCACAGCACGCGCGCAGTAGCTGGCCCAGCAGTGGCCCAAGACGGAGGAGCCGCGCACGTGCTCGTGTTTTTGCAAAATAGCCCCTGGCCTGACCGGATATTATGCGGCGCCACTGTGTACTATTACACTAGAGAAACTCTATGCAATGAGCACCCCCAACAAACCTATCTTCACATTGAGCCTGTCCCCGACACCTCCACGCATGGCGGCGCAGCTCCGGACGACATCGCCTGGCCATGCCGGACCACCGCGAGCCACATCGACGCACCCACTGGGCCGACGAGCAACGCGGAGCTAGCACGGGACCCAGAGCAGCGACCAGAAGCTAAACGATGACTTCTACGCGCCGTCCACGTTGACGGAGTAACCTCCATGGCGGCGCGCCCATTTCGACGAAACTAAGAGCTAGCGAAACGATGGAGGCTATGGGCAAGCAGAAAGGGGATTACCATGAAACCAGCCGTGCAATCTGTTGAGGAGGAGGGCGATCGAGGAACCCTGACCACGTATGCCCGCACCGCACAGCGGTGCTCCGAGGCCGACACCGGTGCGTCCGCATGTCAACGACGCATGCCCTGGCCAAACGGAAGCGAGCACCGGATCGAGGGGATCAACACCAGCCTAGAAACACCATCAATTAGGTTCATTCCCCACAGAGTGGGACTTAACCCAAACCCCATGGCCGGTGGCGACCAAAACGCCAAATTGGCCACCTCCCAAGTTCACCAGCGCCTAGATGCGATTGGATCAGCTAGCTAAACTCCAAACTTTATTTCAGTGCCACGTATAAGTTTCATAGTATTTTTGTCCAATAAAAAATAGCTTTAAACCCTACTTGATATTCATAAGTGGTGTAATAGCATCTCATCCAACTAGGGATGAAAACGGATCGGATACGAACGGATATCACTCATATTATATTTGTTTTCATATTTCTGTTCGGATTCGGACACGGATAGCGTTCGGATACATATACGAATACGGATTGACTCGGTTACGGATACGAATAATGAGTATCGAATACGGTATGAATCGGATTCGGAGAAGGTCGGATACAAATATCTATTCGGATATTGAGTAAAAGCAGCATATATATATATATATCATACGTGCGCAAACCATTACACCACTCTATGAGTCCATAATCCATCTAGATTAAGCCGAAAGACTAAAGAGTAAAGCAACAAATAAGATAAAGATACAGATACATCATACATCAAACA